GTTGGGAAGTATCTTGAGGAGAAGAAATGGTCCTTCAGGTTAGTATTTGTATGTACCATCTTTGCTTTAGAAATCTTTAAATGTTCCTTCAGGTTAATTTTAGTATTCACCATCATTCCATTTTAGTATTGACCATCATTCCACGAAATTATTCTGCAACCTTTATGCTGTGATTAGCCGCTATAATTCATAGAGATTTCTTTTAAATTTGTAAGTGGATTACCTTAAGTGTTCTATTTCATCTCATAAAACTTGTGTTTTGCAGTAAAGCTGGATCATCGCAGAAAGGAATGGTTATAGGACTGGGAGCACTCAATCTTTTTGGAGTTGTTGTTCTGGGCAGCATGTTAAAGTACTGAATTTGTTGTCCTACTATTACTTATTATTCTGTCTTTCTTTTATATCTAGTAATTACTCTTGGTGTTTTAAATTGAAGGAACACTGCAATAGCACCCGCTGGCTTTATTTCTTTTGTTGCTGACATATTTCCTCTACTCCAGGTAGGTTTAGTTGCCATATTAAATCAATGTAATCTCCTACCACTGTCATATTCCAAAATATTTCTAATACTAACTGTATCATTGGTGTTCTGATTGTCTTAGTTACTTTCTTTTTGAATACTCGTTGACAAATTACTGTGCACAGAAATTTGACTGCCCTCAGCAGCATGCATCTCACAAGGGCTTCATCCTTATTGATTCATGAAATGAGAATTCATTTGTTTTCTATAGCACCCTTTTCATCTCGTAATAAATCCTTGCATCTTGTTCTGCACAAGAAATGAATGTCTTGTTATTTCATATCAAAAGCGAATCACATTTTGTTCCAAAATTTTGTAAACAACCTCTTTAAATCTTCCATACCATTCTTATTATTCTTCTCATGTTTGCAACATTTTGGAACACCCCACCACCAACACCACCAGAAAGAGGAGGGGGAAAACAAACCAAACACATGCACAAACAGTGGTTATGAATCTATAAATCAAATTTCACTCTTATGCAAGTGTAACTCATTTCAGAAATGCATGCTGACTGTACAAAATCCTAGGAATAATTAGATTTGTTGTGGCTGTAACCAATATTAGTACATTCTTTATAAAATAAGTACCTTACAATTCTTGTATACTTGGCATCTTTTTAGTTCTATTCATATCATCAAGACAACCTTTATTCTCAGGTCTATGCTGCTTCGTTCTTTGCAATACCCTTGTTCCGATGGTTCCTCTTGCGTAAAAGGAATGCAGATATTGAAAAACGCAATCTGGGTAGAAAACAACAAGCTCGAGCCCTTGAATTGCCTGATTCATCTCTCAGAAGGAAGGTAATTTTATGGATTTTGGTTAGGAAGATGTTTACATTCTACTTTTTCTTTTTCTTTGTTTAGAAGGATAAGAGCCTTGGCTCAAATTTATTTAAAGAGTAAGTAAAGTAATATGGGACCCGGAGAAGTACATATATAACAGATAGAAGAGAGCTTACGACTTAAAGAAGTATTCAAGTGGATAAAAGCCACCAATTACATGGTTGGTATGAGTGCCGAAATACAGTAAGTAGAGTTAAATTATGGATAGTATCCATCGAGTTGAACATGCTACCTGCTTTTATATTGCTCATAACCAAACACAATGAACTGTGGTTCTACAACCGCAATACTCTGGAAGTGATTGGTTCATCTTCACATTTGGCACATTTTGGTAGAATTTTGATTATGTGTGCATAATTGCATAGTTTCCAGTCTAAAATGGCCTATATAATTTTAGAGTAAAGATAATTCTCTTGTAACCTTTGCACTTTGTTTATCAGCTTTCCAGCGCTAGAGAGATGGCACGTCGAACTGTTATTGGTTCAGAGAGGATAGTCTACAGTACAGAAAAAGATGTTTCAGACCAAGATTTTGAGGCTAGAGAATGGGATCGGAGATTCAGAGAACTTGAGAGATCGGATTGATGACAACACTGTTTTATCCTTCATATCATCAAACTATCTTTGCTGCTGCTGCCCCATAATACCCTAACCAGGAAGTGTGCTGGTTACTGAAGGCGTAAATCAGAAAGCAGCAGGGCTTCACTCTCCATTTGTACAATTTCTGTTAATATCACCATAATTTTATCAACAGACAGCTGCTGGCTGCCAGGGCACTTCCAGACATTGACAAAGACACTGCGGTCAGTTTTTTGCACATGGCTCGGGTTGTTGTAGAAATGTTTCACTTTTGTACGCGCTATTGTTGTAATAATTTCTTTAAGTTCTAATGTTATTCTTAAGGTAGCTATCATTTTCGACTTTTTTTCTCAAATGAGAACTAGGATTCTTAACACCTGTAATAAAAAGCAAAAAACCGAGTATAGAGAAGAGAAAAGATGATATCTTTGAAGGGGGGCTCCGGTAATGGGTAAGAGGTTTTCTTTTTTTCGTTGTATTTTCTAAAGGAAATCATCCCTCCTTTTATAGGGGCTAACCCACTATCTCCACCCCCCTTCAGTTCCGCCCCATGAGAGATTTCCTCTCAACAAACCATTCCACGTTCCCACGTTTCTCTCAACAGAGAAACAAACGTTGATTTGGTCACCATTAGACCGAGTCTATGCAACAAAAGAGAGGGTCCAGACTCGGGGTTCACTAGGGTTTGGATTGCAAGAGCGAGGGTCCAGCCTTAGGGTTTCCGTGGCTGGTACTTTGTCAAGGATTTTTTTTCCCCCGTAACTGCAAGTTCTTTTCAAGTCACAGCTATTCTATTTTGGGGTTGTAAGTTTTAGAGCATCAACCGGTCCAAGTGATTATTAACTAGTCACTAAAGATGATGCTAATATTATCTGAAACGGATGGTATTAAATAATAATAATAATAATAAATCTGGGATCATCTTATTGGGAGGTCTAACTTGCCCATCGACTCTACGTATACTTGACCGCTTTCTAACCTCTTTATTATCAGGTCAAAAGCTGGGCATCGACAAGCACGCGTCACAGAGGTATTTTTTTCTTCTCTGCCCCGCTAAATGAACCCTGGACCTACCACGACAAAGATTGCTCTCCTCTCTCATGTTAGCTCCTGATTGAATTATTGGCTTTTATAGTAAATTAGGAGGCATCATTATGCTCAAAGCTATTGTGATTTTTAAATTTTATCACTTTTACAGTGCATATCCAAGCGCACCGGAACCCAAATCATGAATTAGACATATTAAACCTATTGATCTGCAAAAGACGAGGGTCACAGAGAGAATTGTGGGATCGGCATGGAGGAGGGGAGGGGCCAAAAAGTAAGCGGAGGACATCATTCTTTTGTTTCCTTTTCAGCACAAGCACGGAAGCACCTACGCCTTAGCTTAATTATTAAGCAATGGGCTCCAAACACACGGTCTTTGGGGGGGGGGGGGGGGGGGGGGGGGGGGAATGACTAACATCCCGCTCCACATCGACAGCGCAAAAGAATCATCAGATACCAAAACAAACATCTCAAACATAAAAGGCATGGCTCTCGCTTTCCTTTGTTTAATTAATTGTTAAGCCAATCGGACCCTAATCGCAACTTTTGGGAGGCAAGGCCCACATAATGCTTAGGCGGTGGCCCACATGACTCCTTAGAGCATCCTCTCCAACAGCTTCTCCATCTTCTTGAAATACTCAAATTTGGAGAATATAGAGTTTTTTTTTGGTCCAACAGATTCCTCATCTCATTCCCCAAAATAGAGAAGGAGGAGAAAAAATAGGGAGCCTTCCCCAAATCTGCAGCATTCTCCAAATTTTTTAGGGAGAGCTTTATTATTATAATAAATGTAATTTTTTAAAATGGGGAAGCTGTTGGAGTTGGAGCAAAAATAATTTGAAGAATATGATTTTTGTTTCTCTATTTTGAAGAAAATTTTAGGAAAGCTGTTGGAGATGCTCTTAGTTACCAAAGCGTCATTGAAAATAAATCAACAGAATAAAAGGACTTCGATCAGAACTGCTTTCAATTCGCTGCACCGCAACCCAAAAAAAGAAGACTAAAAAAAGGTGACAGCTTAGTTTTTTTTTATCAGTGCATCCCACGCAACAACTTGCTTTACTTATATAGCGTCGACTGTCGCCGACACTTGCCCCCTCTCTAGTCGATCTCTAGGAATTATAAGATGGCTCCTATCCTTTTTTTTTTTTTTTCCCCATGTTTGGTTAGAAATTAATGTGATAGCTGCAATATAATTGGTGTACTAGCTCGGTGGAGAACCAAACCTTTATTTAAATTATTACGCTAATTAACACCGTAATTCCTTTATTGCACTGATGTGCGAATATAAATTCTTAACGCGTCATCGATCACCATGGAAACCATCATCATCGTTCATCATCTTCAGCCCCACAGAAGTCAGAGCCGGGGTGGTCTTTATTACGAGCATCAGCTTTTAACTTTTCTTTTTTTTTTCCCCCTCACACCAAATCCATCTACGTTGACCCACGAACCACAACAAATAGAAACAAATTAAGACGCTGGTCCTTGGCGCTGCTGAGAGAGAGAGAGGAGCCTCTCACTTTCCTCTGCCTTATTTATTAATGATTCATGAACAATAATTTATGAGCTCGAGCGAGCAACAGTCCAGCTACCCATTTCCTCCGCATGCAAAGACAAAGTCAAGCGCTCCCACAAACTGCTGTGAGTTTGGTTTT